TTAAAGTAATGCTCACTTGGTTGCCCCAAAATGTAGGCTTATCTGTTCTTCACAAAATGGATTGAATTGTAATCATGTGTCCAGATCTTTATTTGATATTGTTGATCCACAGGTCTGAGCATCTTAAAATTATGCATTTATAAGTATATAAATGTGTATGTATTTTCATTTTTATTGTTGAGGGTGTTACAGATTCCCCCTTTTTCCTGCTCCATCCTGCTCCCACACAACCCCAGACCTTCACCGCACTATTCTCCATGGAATAAGCCAGTCAGAGAAAGACAAATATCACATGATCTCACTTATATGTGTAATCTAATGAATAAAATTAATTGATGAACAAATAGGTCCAAAGACATGGAAGCATGCCGCAAACTGACAGATCTCAGAGAAAAGGGGGTCTGAGAAGAGATTAACCAAAGAACTTATATGCATCTGTGTATATGTATTTTTTTAAAATCTGAGCATTTAATATAAATTTTAAATCTACCTGTAGACCCTCCCAAAATTCAGATAGCTCCACTGCTATTGACAGTGTACATTCAAATTAAATGTCACTCATAAGACCTTTCAAAAAGGCCACTTTCAGGGACAGGCTTCAAACCTAGTCTTACCCAGTAGTGAACCCTAGATTATCTTGCATCCACTTTTGTATGTCTTCACCTTTGAGTAAATTACCTCAGTGCATGGATGGTCATCTCAGTGTTTGCCGTTCTAGAGTGTGCTCACTTCAACGCAAGGACCACAGGCCCTATGTACAGTGACAGGCTCAGCTCCAGCTTGTATGTAGCTAGCCACCTCTGCAAAGCAGTAGGGAAGCCACAGTTTTATATTCAAAATCGCTCTCCTTCGTTTTCCTCATTTTGGTACAATCCATGTTATACCAAAAAGTTTGTATCAAGAATTCTAAAAGTGTTTTCCTATTTTACCCATAATTCCACTTCTGAAATCTATCTTAAAAAAGTAATCTTAAACTCAGAAGAAGTGTTTTTTGGGCACTGATGTTACTTAAAGCCTGAATGATTCACTGTAAGAATAAAGTAGAAAGGACTTTACTATTCAAGTCCAGGGGAATTTTTAAGTGAAGTAGGACACTTCCACAGGGTAAAATTTTATATGGCTGTTAAATACAATGCTTGTGAATTTTGTGACATAATATGAGAAAGTGTGCATGATATGTTTAATAGAAAGAATAAGGTGCACAAATTTCTCTATCAAATGAAAGTGTATACAAAAATAATATGTAAAGGCAACTCCTATCAAATTATGGAGAGCGTGTGTGATACAGCGGCCGAGACACTAAAAAACAGGTACCAGAGTATGAAATGGAAATTGTCCTAGTCATGGTATCATAAATGATTTGTTTCCTGCTATTTTTTAGAAATTATTTTTGCATTTCTTTGTGTTACCTTCATAATACTTTTCAGACATTAATGCTGTTCTCCTCCCAAAGATGCGCAGGAACTTCATGTTTGGAGCTGTCTGCCCAAGGCTTCCTATTATACAATCTACCTAGAGTCAGAATCCACAGAAATGTTCCCTTTTAACACAACTTTTCTGTCTATTGTTTGAGACCCAGCCTTTCCAAACAAGGCTGAGAAATAAATTTATACTAAAGTGTTAATAAATTCGTCTTTGCTAATATTTTTCATATATATATATACATATATATATATTCCTAAGGGGATCTTCTGGAGTTAGCATCTTTTGATCAAGGGAAGGCTTCTAATGATGGCTATTTTCATGCAACCAAGGAAAGATGTTTTTAAATAAATAAATGGATTGCTTAGCACCCTATAAATCAAATCATACCCAATCCATCTGTATTTAGGCCTAGTCATGAGTAGGTGATTAATGAATATTTTTCATGCTAATGTTTCGCAGACCAAGGCTGCGTCTATAACCACATAATCATCACAGTGGAAATTCTTATTTGGCTGTGATGTTTGATAGGAGGGATCTCTGAATAGTGCTTTAGATGATTCCGTGCAAAGGCTGTAGTCGGTGGCCCAGCTTTGCAAGTCTTTCCAAAAGTCCTAAAGCATGCTGGCATGTCCTCACTTGGCCCTGTCACTTCTGCTTAAATTTTTTCATGGAGAATGCTCATGATCAGGGACGTTAAGGTGAATTTCATCGTGGGCAGCTTCCCTCTGTGAAGTGAATCAGCGTCATGGGATTCCCCTGGGCTCAAGCTCCCTGGTGGGTTTATTTTTACACAACATTCCTCTGGGGAAAGGGGCACCCACTCTTGATTGGAGTAACTCCAGAGAACATCTTGGGTAGAAGGATGTTCCTCATTTTGCTCTTCTTTCTCTGGCTTACCTTTTTAAACAAATGGCTGTAGAATCTGTCTCCACTTACCTTTCCCATCTCCAGTTTGGTTTCCTCCCTCCATCCTTCACTCCCCAAAATTACTCCTGAGATGACAAGTGACTTCCATGTCCCTAGAATCAGTGGTCACTTTTCTGTCTTCCACTTGACCTTTCAACAGTATTGCACAGAGCTGACTGCTCTTTCTTTCTTGCAATATGGGCTTCCTCTCAGATCATGTGATTCCATACTTCCACTTTCTCATTCCCTACCCTTTTCTGGCCTCTCCTCCGCTGCTTGCATGCCTCAGGGTTTGTCCTGTAAACCCTTCTCTTCTTTGGCTACATTCTTTCCCTACCAATTCATCTATTTTTGTTGCTTTAAATACCAATTTTATGTGTGTGACTTCCTGGTATGTTTTTCTATCTCAGCCATGCAGCCTAAACTGTAGACTTTTATATATAATGAGTGTCTAATTGGCATCTCAAACTTAACATGTCCTAAATAACTCTTGATTTTCCCCCTCAAACTTACTCATGGCTTCCTTCTTTACTCTGGTCAAGTCTCTAGTCCAGTGGTTCTCAACCTCCTGGCCCTTTAAATACAGTTCCTCATGTTGTGACCCAACCATAAAATTATTTCCGTTGCTACTTCATAACTGTAATATTGCTACTGTTATAAATCGTAATGTAAATATCTGATATGCAGGATGGTCTTAGGCGAGCCCTGTGAGAGGGTCATTCGACCACCAAAGGGGTCGCGACCCACACACAGGTTGAGAACCACTGCTCTAGTCAAATATCTTCAGAGGGGGAACTTTTCCTGATCATGTTATTTAAAATTATACAAGCCTCCTACTTCTGTGGCCTTATCTGACCTTTCTTCCCTAATTAGAGTAGTTCTAATTCCTTTGGATCCAGTTCCTTTGAGTCTAGTTCCTTGAATCTTGTTCCTTTGAATCAAAATCTAGACACAGGATTGGGGGGAAAAAAAGACATATGTAAAACTTTAGGCAATAAAGAATAATAATAATAAAATCTAGACACAGGAAACTGTAGACCTGGGAAAGAAAGAAGGTCCATGTCTTGAGTTCTAGTCATACTATTACCATCCCAAAAGACCTATGCATTTCTATAATTCTTTACTCAGTATATTTCCTCTTTTTTGAAATTACTCCCAACTTTTTTATTCTCCTTGCCTGGCTGGCTAACTCCTCTTAACTTTTTAAAAAAAAAAATTTGAAACTTTTTATTATGGAAAATTTGTAACATAAAATTAGTATATGAACCTCCTCCTCTTTGATCTTTGCAATTCAACTTATGTTATCTTTTCTGGAGAACCTTTCCTGGCCACCACCCAATCCCAATCTGAATTGGAAGCTCCTACCCAGTATCCCATGACATCACACTATATTACAATTTGTTGATTTCCTCATCTCTTTGTTACTAGACACTTATGAGTATTTTTAGAGGAGAGATGACCAAAAGCTCTGGTTAAATATTTTTCCCCAACATTTAACACAGTGCCATAGTTCAGATATTCAATAAATACTTTGTATGAGTGTTTGTGTAACCCATACATATATTTATATATGCATTGTAGGGCTAGAAACCAACCTGTCTCCTATTAGCTAAGAATAATGTATGCCAAAAGCCAATCTCTGTAGAAAAAATAAAACTATCCACAAGATTTGAAGGAAAGAGATTAGAGAGGTGCATAGGAGGAGGCGCCTCTGCCTCCTTGTGAGGTATGTTTGTTCTGCACCTGTTCTAAACTCAGTGTAAAGTTAAGCCCCTCATTTGGTGTTCACACATTCACTCACAGCAAACACTGTGAGTTCAGGAGGCTTTGCTAAAACAGTGGAGATGCCCCAGAGGCCATCCTTCTCCAAATCAATTGTTCTTCTCTCTTGCTACCCTTTTCTCTCTGTGTCCATCTCTTCTCCTAAAAGAGATCAAAATTCTTCTTCATCTGTTATGAGAGACAAGATTCCATTTCCCTGAAGCCAGAATACTGGATAACACCCACCCAAGTCCTCATTTGGGGATGGTGGGATGCTTGACTCCAAGAATTTATCAGATTTTTATTTCCACTAATGATCATTTCCTTTCTAAGAATTTGGAATCTAGGGACATAAGTCACAAAATGATTTCACATGTGTTAGCAGAATGTAAATGAGAAGGGCAGGTGAATGGGAAGCATGAAAAGAGACACGGTTCTCCCTATCTGGGCTTCGTTCTCATGCTGGGATATGGGTGTCATCCTGAGGAATAGCCAGGTTGGTGGTTCAAGGCAACTGAAATGCCTGAGAACTTCTGTAAAAGCAATTTCAAACTCTACTTTTGGAGTATGATCTGAAGAGGATTGGGGCCTCAGTCCTTCAGCAGTTTTTTTCATCTATTTTTGAGAGACCAAAAGCAGAGCACTTCACCTGTCCCAAGCCAGAGGATTTGCAGCATCTCTAAAAGGAAAACTGAAGATGCATTTGCCAGTTCCTGAAGAAAGATGTAGAGTGAGCTAATTACTTTTGTTCCTGTTACTGTTTTTGCTCCCTCCCCACCCCACCCCCCTTGAATTTGGATAAACAGTGATCAATAAGGATTTCACACAATCCCCAAGTGCATAGCTCAGAGCACAGAATCAGCAAATACATGTTCTTAGGAAGTCTAATTCCAAACTTCTCTTCACAGCAAGTGAGAAACAGATGGCAGTGGTGTGCAAGGAGTCTCCAAAGCAGTACCTCCAGCCTTTCAAGGACAAACTAGAGGAGTTCTTCCAGAAAGGTAGGAAACCCCAAAACATCCTTCATTCCACAATTTTTCTCTGGGGTCCCCTGCCCCCTGCATCCTGGCTGACCACCGACAGCTTCAATGATTCCGTGAGTCCATCTTCCCATGGTGGTTACACACTAAATGTATATGGAGTTGTCCCATAATTTTCATATCATCTTTCAAATCTGTCTTCACGTTGTAAATTTTAACATTACTTTTGTTTTTGTAAACTTTGGGAAGAAGACTTTGTCTTTGTCTCTTCATGGAACCCAAGAGGATCCTTAGAACATATTAACTGACAAACAATGTCCAGTGTAAGCAGTCATGCATTTCAGATTCACAGTCAGCCTGGGCAGGTGGATGGTGATTATCTTCCTGGTTTTATGAGTGTAGCAATTTGGGAGCTTGTATTGTAAATTTTCCATTACTTTTCAGGAAAGAAAATTGGGGCCAGGTGAATGTCACACATCCAATCACTTGACACCCATCAGCCCTTCGGGGTTGGTAGATGGGAGTGATAGGCACGAAACCCAGTACTTATTTAGAAAGTTTATTGAGTTGTGCTTCTTCCTCCATGATTTTGGCAGGAATAGGGAATTCTTGTTGATCATTGTTAGTGAATGTGGAAGTTTAATGCATTTTGGATATTTCCTATTCTAATTTCTCAAATTCAGCTTAAGATGTGAAACAAAAATAAGTGTGGGACATAACTTCCAGTAAGCCCCAGGAATGTAATATACAGCATGGTAACTATAGTTAATACTACTTTATTGTATTTTAAAGTTGCTGAGTAGATCTTAATAGTTCTCATCTCCAGAAATAAAAAATTATAACTGTGTGGTAATGGATGTTGACTAGTCTCATTATGATGATCATTTCACAATATATACATATATTGAGTCATTATGTTGTACACCTGAAACTAATATAATGTTATATGCCAATTACATTTCAATAAGGAAAAAAATAAGTGTGGTATAATTAGAGGGAGCTTTTGTGTTTGCTAGAAAGCCAGAGGAAATGCATGTAGGGACATTTAGGGATATGTCAATGTGCTGTTTCTATCTATATACAGTGGGGTCTTGACTTACGAGTTTAATTCGTTCCGTGACGGAGCTCATAACTCAAATTACTCGTATGTCAAATCTTAAAGTGAACGAGTGAGACACATGATGCTGGGCTGATGTTGTGGCGTTCACTGTGACGTTTGCTGCGTCAACTAGCAGTGAGGTATCTGAAGCTGGCTCATAACCCGAATTTTAGCTCACAACTCAAAGCAAAAAATCGGCCGAGAGATGGCTCGTATCTCGAAAAACTCGTTAGTCGGGACACTCGTAAGTCAAGGCCCCACTGTATATAAAAAGGCTGCTACCATAACGGCCATAACGACCTAACAACCGGTCGCTATGACGCCCACTGTGGCCAGCAAACTGGCTGATCAGAGGGTGGGGGCTACGGCCAACCTCGAGGCCCCTCCCCTCTGCCAGTCTGCCCCTGATCAGACTCTCCCACCCCATCAAGAGTGGGGCCTGCCGGCCAAACACCCTATCCCTTCATCCTACCCCCCCACCACCCCTGCCAGCCGCAACCTGGATCAGCCACTGCAATAGGCCCGCAGCCCCTCCCTCCTGCTGGCCCACCCCTGATCTCACCCCCCACCACAATAGGGGGCAGGGCTGGACGGTCAACCTCCTGCAGCGCCTCCCCCTGGCCACGCCACCCTGATCACACCCCATCCCAATAGGGGACAGGGCTGGCAAGCTAACCTCCTCCAGGCCCTCCCTCCAGCGGGCCACGCCCCAGATGTGCCCCCACCACCCTGATTGACCTGCAGCTCCTCCCCCTGGCCAACACCGCCCCTGATCAACACCCCACCTCAATAGGAGATGGGGCTAGCCGACCTACCTCCTGCAGCCCCTCCCCCTAGCCAGCCACACCCCTGATGGGCCCCCACCATCCTGATTGGCCTGAAGCCCCTCCACCAGGCCAGCCCCACCTCTAATTGCCCCCCCCAATAGGGGGTGAGGCTGGCCAGCCAATCTCCTGAAGCCCCTCCCCCCACCCAGCCCCACCCCAGATTGGCCCCCCCACCCCAATCAGGGGCAGGACCAGCTGGCCAACCACCCATGGCTCCTCTCCAAGGCTGCTGGCCCCTGATTGGCACCCCCCACCCACCCCATTCAGGGGCAGGGCCAGCGGGCCCACCGCCCACAACCCCTCCCCATGGCCGGCCCCACCCCCAAATAGCCCCCCAACCCCAATTGGGGGCAGGGCTTGCTAACCCCTTCCTCCAGCCAGCCGAGCCCTGATCAGGCACCCTGATTGGGCCCCGATCTGGGCGGGCCGGTCAGCCAACCTCCCACCATCTCCTTCTCCAGACAGGCCCAGCCCCGAACCACCCTGATTGGGGCCTGGCCAGCTGAACCCCACCCATGCATGAATCCATGCACTAGGCCTCTAGTTTGTTAATAAGGTCACATGATACCACACCATCAAGAAAGACCATTACAGGGTGAATCCATATAGTATGGACAGACCACCTTGAGGCTTGGCAGGGAAACCCAGTCCATGATTCAGAGGAACTCTATTTCCGCTGCTCCCTTGGTGCAGATATCGCTTCCCCCTCCTCCCGGGTGAGAGCGTGTTAGTGCTGAAGTGGATGTCAGAGCTTTCCCTGGAACACTGCTAAACCTTAGATTGATGGAGGTAATGTTGTCAGGCAAAGTGCCGTGAGAGCAAACAGTGATACTAACACTTATTTGTCTTGTGACTTATCAAAGTAGATGTATTGCTTTATGACTATGCAAATATAACCTCAAGGGGCTGAAGAAAAGCATGAAATACTTCCCTTTGCTGACCCCCAATTAAGAAATTCTGCTTTTGACATGTATGGACTTCACTTAAAATGAGGCTCATGTGTACTTAGATTCCATTTTTATTTTTAATTTCTATTATTCAATTTCTGGAATATTCTGTAATATTTGTATCTGGGTATTATCTGCCTATGTGCTATAGTGGCCTTACTTTTTTCTCCTTAAATGAGCTTGAATCTTAAAACTTAAATTGTGAATTTTTTTGGTAGAAAAAGATAAATATGAAAAGATTTAGACCCTTGAATATCTTCTTTGGTGCCTTGGAAAAGGAATTTGCAAATTCCTTTTGGGATTCTGTGTTAGTGTCTTTCCTACTAGGTTTCTCAAGAAACATCTGGCCTATTCTGAGAGGAAACTGACTTGAGGCAAAGTGGGCCTTATGTCAGAGAGGTAAGGATATGGCCACAGAATGATGTTCTAAGAAAACCCTAGAAAAGTGGTTCTCAACCCTGGCTGCACACTAGAATCACCTGGGGGAAATTTTTTAAATTTTGGCATCCAAGTCAAACTCTAGACCTACCAGCAACATCTCTAGGGGTGGGGCCAGGCCTCAGCGTTTTTACCCCCCAGATTATTCCAGTGTGCAGCCCAGGGTGAAAGCCACTACTGTCTATCTTCATCCACCTTTCATTGTGTACTCAAAGATGATTACTCAGAGTTTGCTATCCATTAGGGACTGCGATAAATTCTGGGAATATTGAGATGAATTATACATTTCTTGCCATTCTCCCAAGGACTGTCTTGTTGGGGAAAGATCTAATTGAATAAAGGAGTCAGCTCTTCTTTAACCAACATAATGCAGGGGATATGGGAAGGACATTAAGAATAACCTCAAATCATAGTTAAAACAAAATCAGCCAAAACAAAGCACAAAAAGATTCCAAAGGAAAATTATCATCCTATAAAAAATTTTAAAATGTATAACTAAGTACTGCATGAATCTTAAAACATGTATAGTATTTTGTGCTGAAAAGAGCCACTCTTGAAACAGTCTGTTACTGTTATCTCATTACTTAAATTGAGTTGGTCAAAATCAATGTAGAATTGTACTGTCCAATACAAATGGCAGGCTCTAGCCACATGCAGCTGTTGAGCAATGGAAATGAGGCTAATCCAATTGAAGATGTGTGTAAGGCTAAAACACATAGCAGATTTTGAAGACTTGGTTCAAAAAAAAAACTCATTTCATTTCTGATTCTTGGGTTGGTGATATGATAAAATTATAATATTTTAAATATATTGGATTAAAAATATAAAATGCTAGTATTAATTTACCTGTTTCTTTTGGTTTTTAAGCTTGGCCATCAAAAACTTAAAATTCTATATGTGGCTCACATTATATTTCTATTGGAAAGTGCTAGTCTAGAAGACATGGTCCCTTGACCTTTCTCATCTCATTCTTTCACTCTCCTCTTCACTCTTTTATTCTACCTTCTTCATTGTGAATCCTAGGTTATGGGAATGCAGTTTCATAAGCTAGCCCCTCCCCACTTTTGCTCTGGGTCGGGCCATCGTGTGGCTCTCAGATGGGGTGCTTAACTGAAAAATATGCCAGCATGCAGCTTCACCTGACTACTCCTCTGTGATTCAGGAGTGAGTGGGGCTTGGCCAGGTTGCAGGATATACAAATGGAATTTTTATTTTATTTTTGCTTCTATGGAGTTCTAACTAGTAGTCCCTTTCTTATGTTGATATTTCACTGACTCATAGAAAATATAGGGTTTTCCATGCATAAATAAGTATGCATTATTCACCCTGAATAATAAAATTTTAGTGGCAGTTATCATATAGTTTAAGTATAGTATCTCATCTAATATGCCATTCATTGTAAGAAACATCATTACAAGTATTACTAAGAAAGAAAAATTGCTGGCAATTAAACCTCGATGTGTCATAGATTGTATAATGTATTGTAATATCATAAGTGCTAAAATATGAAAATTTTGTCAATTTTGAAGTTGATGTAACATGATTAATTAAACATATAGAATTAGAGAGGAGGGATGCCTAACACTTCTAGGTAAGTCAGGGAAGACTTTCCACAATGACAGTGATAACCAAGCTCACATTTGGTGAGTGCTTCTGTATGCCAGACACTATGGGAGATCTTCTTTCTTATTAGTCCTCATGACAACCCTC